TTCTTTCTTTCTTTTCCGTTCCCTTTCTTCATGTCCTTTATTCCTTTATTCCTGTTTTTCTTTCTTTTCTGTCTTTCTTACATGTTTGTCTATCTGCACCATCCGTCATTTTTTCTTTCTTTCTTTCTTTCTTTTTCTTTCTTACCTTTTCCTTCTTTGTTATAGTTTTTCCTTTCATTTTTCTAGTCTCTCTCTTCTTTCTTTCTTTCTTTCTTTCTTTCTTTCTTTCTTTCTTTCTTACCTTTTCCTTCTTTGTTATAGTTTTTCCTTTCATTTTTCTAGTCTCTCTCTTCTTTTCTTTCTTTCTTTCTTTCTTTCTTTCTTTCTTATGATTTCCTCTATCACTTTCTTTCTTTGATGTCCTTCTTTTTACCTCCATGTTTCGTTTCTTTTCCTTCTTTTTACCTACCTCCCCATTTCCTCTGTTCTTTTCCTTCTTTTTACCTCCCTTTCTCATTTCTTTTCTTCTTTTCCTTCTTTTGACCTTTCTAATTTCTTTTCTTTCAGACATTTTTCTTTCTGTTTAATCGTCTTTCTCTTTTCTCAACATCTTTCCTGTTTTTCATTTTACGTCTCCCTCCTCTTCCTTCCTTCCTTCCTTCCTTCCTTCCTTTCTTTCTTTCTTTCTTTCTTTTTGCTTCTTCTTTCTTTCTGTCCATTTATTCATTTCTTTATTTCTCTTTTTCATTATTTTTTATTTATTTTTTTTATTTTTCTGTCGTTCTTTCTTCCTCTTTTTATTTTTTTCTGTCTTCGTTTTTTTTCCTTATCTTTCTTTGTATCATTTCTTTCTATCACTTTTTCTTTCTTCCTTCTTTTTTTTCTTCTGTCAGTGTTGGTCTGCATTTTTCCGTCTTTCTTTTTTATGTTTACTTTTTCTTGCAAAATCCTTTTCTTTCTTTTTCTTGCTTTTTGCTGTCTCCCTTAATGTCTTTCTTTCTCACATTATTTATTTTCCGCTCTCTTTCTTTCAGTCCTTTCTTTTTGCTTCCCTTTCTCTCCATTTCCGTTCTTCTTTAATAGCGTTTTCTTTCTTTCTTTCTTTCTTTCTTTCTTTTCTGTGTTTCGAACTGATTTTCTTCCCACATTCTTTCCATCGTTTCTTCTTTCCAACATATAATCACACGTACACACACACATATATACATTTATTCATACATACCCTTACATACACACACACACACACATATTATATATATATATATATATATATATATATATACGCTACACACACACACACACATATATATATATATATATATATATATATATATATATATATATATATATACACACACTTTTGGGCTGCGAATTTAGTTTCTTTGTTTTATCAACTCACCGAAAATAATATGCATTTTTTACTGTAAATTACAGGTGACAGTGTGGGTGCGTATTATAAATACGTTTAAACAAAAATATTTTTTCTTCATTGATCTATAATAATAAATACGTCCTTGTTGTTCTAAAATATGGAAGATATCCCAATTTTCATTTTAAATCCAACAATAATAATTGTAGCAATTTTTTCCAATAAATTTATGTTTATCAGTAACCACATTTTTTATTTGGCGAAAAGATAAAAAAAAAATCTATAAAAAGACTAATTTTGAGCAAAAGAGGATATCAAGTTAACAATTTATTGAAATTTTAATTTTCATCATCATTTTCTATTATAGAATCAATATCTAAATTGTCATTAAACAAATTATCATTCACAATATTATCTTCGTCCTGTTCAAAATTATTTTCAGCCTCTTCATACTCTTGCCAAAGGATGTCATCTTTAGAGCCATCCATGGCTGTCGTGAAACAACAGTTCTTGAAATCTCTCTTTATAACATCCTCACGGACAGAATCCCAAGATTCCTGAATCCATTTTACAATAAGTTCCAACTCTGTTTTTTTTCCTATTGCCACCAGCAGTAAAACTGGGAACACCAGAAAAGATCCAGTCATTCGAATTTTCAGGCATCTCTTGTTTAAATGGATGGTTGCAGACGACATCCATTATTTGAAGTTGGCCAATAATTTCCCCTTTGCATAATAACAAGATCAGTCCTCTTCTCCTGAAGTATATTCTTCATGCAAGGCATCCTATGGCAATGAAACGCATCAAAAAACAACATAGGTCTACTTCTTGCAAATTCTGTTGTATTTACACCAAACATTCAGCAGCCAGTCCTTTGTGAGATTCACATCCATATCCAGCCTTTTTTCATGACATTTTACTATCATACCAGCTGGGCGGTCAATGTTTTTTTGGCAGAATTTTCCATTTAAAAATGACGTAATGGCGCATCTTCTTACGATCATCATATGCACCAAGCATGACAGTGAACCTCTTCTTTTCATTCCCTCTTTTTTTTTTTTTGAAACAGAATTTACCCCTTTGTATTCCAGACTTTGAAAACAAAGCACATCAAAAGACAAGGGTGTTTGGTCAGCCTTTCCAATACAGCCTAAAGGATAGTTGTGCTTTTTTCTTAGCTGAATAACAAAACGTTGAAAATTCAAAAGCTTATCTTCGTAGTCATCAGGAAAACGCTGGGCTATGGATGTTCTTCTCCTAATAGATATATGAAACTTCTTCATAAAAAGAAAACACTAGTTCGCTGAAGCTTTATATTTGTTTCCAGGATACATGGTTTTCAAAAGTTCTTTTTGCCGTCATCTTTATTTCTACAGTACTTATGGAACATCCACTTGATCGTCTTTCTTTCACGAATTCAACTAAACTTTCTTCCATATCTGGATATTGAGCTTTCTTCCTCTACTTATAGCCTTGGCACTTGATTTGAACTTTTTTTAGTTCATTTTTATTCTTTCTCCATAAACGTATTCTCTACTTTCTTTCTACTAATTCTATTACTTTTTTTTAAAAATTTGCACAAAACCTCGACCATTTTCATGACAATTTGGCGGTAAAATAGATTGTTATATTTATCAAGAAAACAGCATAGTAATTTTCAACATTATTTTAGACACTTAGTTTTGATTTTATTCTCAATGTCAAGGTCAACAAATGTCTTTGTAATTATTATTTGCTTTTTTTTTGACAAAATTTAAAGATGCGCATTATACATAAGGATAGATATATTTTTTAATTTTTGGATGATTTGTTGGGGTGTATTATTTATGGATGCGTATTATTTTCGAGAAATTACAGATGAATTTTGATATGAAAATTTTTCAATTTTTTATGCATCTCTTGTTTAAATGGACAGTTGGATACATCATCCATTACTTGAAGTTGGCCAGTCATTCCCGATGGCATAATAACAAGATCAGTCCTCTGCTCCTGAAGTATATTCTTCATGCAAAATAACAAAACGCTGAATATTCAAAGTTTCGTAGTTTTCAAGCAAACGCTGGGCTATAGATGTTCTAATAAATATATCAAACCTCTTCATCAAAAGAAAACAGTTTGTGGAAGCTTTAAATGCGTTTCCAGGATACATGGTTTTCAAAAGTTCTTTTTGACTTCATCATTATTTCCAAATTACTTATGGAACATCCACTTGATCGTCTTTCTTTCACAAATTCAATTAAACTTTCTTCCATATCTGGATATTGAGCTTTCTTTTCTCTACTTATAGCTTTACTGAATTTACACTTTTTAGTTCATTTTATTCTTTCTCCATAAACTGAATTTACAGCTCTGTTTCCTATTCTTTCTTTTAATTCTATTATTTTTGTTTAAAATTTTGTTTTGACGACATTTTCTAAAAATAAAATGTTTTATTTATCAAACCTACTGGTAATTTTTTTTTAATTTCGATTTTATAACCAAAACAAAACGACAAAATTTATTTATCATTTGTTTATGTATGTTTTGTTATGGGTGCGTATTATTTTCAAGAAATTACTTATAGGAATCCCAGTTTTTGATTACAAATTCAACAATTAACTGTAACATTTTTTATATTTATTCAATTTTAGGATATTTAACCCATTGAAATTTTAATTTTTCATTAAAACAGGATACATGGTTTTCACAAATCATTTCCACATTACTTATGGAACATCCACTTGATCGTCTTTCTTTCACAAATTCAATTAAACTTTCTTCCATATCTGATATTGAGCTTTCTTTCTCTACTTATAGCTTTGGCACTTTTTACTTTTTTTAGTTCATTTTATTCTTTCTCCATAAACGTATGTTAGCCTCATTCAATTTATATTCTCTAACTACAGCTATGTTTCCTATTCTTTCTGCTAATTCTATTATTTTTTGTTTCAAATTTGCACTATAACTCGCACGTTTTGACGACATTTTAGCGGTAAAATAAAATGTTATATTTATCGAGAAAACCGCATGGTAATTTTCAACAATATTTTAGACGCTTAGTTTCGATTTTGTTCTTAATGTCAAGATCGACAAAACGTCCAAATAATTATTTTATTTATTTATTTATTTTTTTGACAAAATTTATAGATGCGTATTATAACATGCGGGCAGATATATTTCTTAATTTTGGGATCATTTGTTGGGGTGCGTATTATTTATTTATTTTTTTATTTTTAAGCATTTAACCCCAAGCAATGCGGGAAGCCACTAGCACGCAAAGGGTTTCAGAGTTGGAGCGAGAACAAAGAGGAGTGATAGAGGAAAGGATGAAGAGAAGGATAGGGGATAGATCAAAGCATCTGGAGATGTCGATTGACGTTACATTTGAATAGTTGGAGATTATAGCTATCAGGAAAACAAAAAATGGGGAGGAAGTTCTACAGGCAGGAAGTGCGAAACATGAAGCTATTGGAGTAGAAAAGACGGCTACATTTAACAGTTTCGACAATGAAAGGATGAGAGCGAGATGCCAGCCTAGTTGAACGCTTAAATTCATGAAGTCTGGGAACCAGCGAAAGCAGCTCATCGGAGCAGTTACCGTGAAAGGATTTGTAAAAAAGACAGAGGGAGGCTACGGCACGTCTGTGATAGAGCGGCTGCAGACGAGATGCCAGATCATGGTCAATTACATTGCATATCCGTCTTTGGATTTTATCAAGGACTTTGAGACAATTAAAAGGAGCTCCAGACCATATATGGCAGCAATACTCTATGAGGGGGCGAATGGTTGATTTGTAGATTTGAAAGATCGACTCCGGTAAGAAAAATTTCCTGGCGCGGCATAGAGAGCAAACATTCCTATCAGTGGACGAAGCTATTGACTCAATGTATTCGTTCCATCTCAGGTCAGCGGACAATGTGAGATCGAGCAGTTCCAAAGAGGTGCTCTCGTGGAGTTGAGCGTCAGACATTCTAATGAGTTGCAGGGATGGTTCTCTCTGGTGAGTAATAGAGAGCAGTTTTGTTTTTGAGGCATTGAAGTTAACCATCCAATACCTGCCCCAGTCCAC